CGGGGGGGGGGAGGAAACGGACGCGGGAAAAAGTTTCGGGATGGAAATCGCCGTCTGGGGACTTTTCCGGGTTTATAGGGAATTTTTCTTCTCTTCCCGTTTTCCAGTTTATTTTTCTTTTTAAATCGGTTTTACGGGGAGGTTTGATTATCGATTCGCGACTTTCTAATTGTCCGTTCCCTCCCTCCGCCGGAGGAAGTCTGGGGACTTATAGGGAATTTTTCTTGACTTCCCGGTTTTTATTTTACTTTTCATTTTAAATCGACGGGGTTATCGGTTGTGACTTCCTAATTGTCTATTCGGAGGAAGTCTAGGGACTTTTTCAAGGATCTAGGGAATTTTGCTTCTATCTTACTTTCCTTCTTTTAACTAATTTTACGAGCGATTGGGGTATCGACCGTGTGTTTTTAATTTTCTATCAGTAGGAAGTCTAGGGACTTTCTTTGTTTTATAGGGAATTTTCATTCCCCTTTTCTTTTTTCATTTTATCCCTTTCTTATTGATTTCATGGGAGTTTGGGGTATCGATTGCGAGTATCTAATTGTCTACCGGAGGAAAGTCTAGGGACTTCCCCGGTTTATAGGGAATCTTTTGTTCTCCACTCCTTTTTCTTTCTTTTCTATTTGGTTTTATGGGATATTGGTTATCGTTGGCGAGTTCCTAATTGTCTGTTGAAAGGATCCGTTATCATGGAAGGTATTATCGAAGGGGTTGGCGTTTTCGGGGAACAGTTGATTAACGCGTTAATTAATATCTAGTTCCATCATGCGCGTGCGTAAGGTGATGGAGTGTAACAGCGTTATCTGTTTCTTCATTGGAAAGTTATTATCGGGCCATTACCCCTGCATATTAATTATCGAAGTTTAGAACCGAACAGGTGCAGGGCCCGGGTATCGAATTAATTAAACTAATTAAAGAAAATGTTGTAATTAAATGGCGAGTTGCAGCTGACTACGACGGTTTAATTAACAAGCTTCCCATCGTTTGTTCGCGAAATTACGGACGAAAATAAAGCGAAGAACTATCGGCGAATTCGGGGCTAAATCAATTAGGAGGAACGTTCCGATTACAAATTATTTCACACTTCTCCATATTTGCAAACCCCTCGGCAATTTTTCCTTCTTGTCGCGTTACAACCAATTAGGGAACAATTTCGAATATTTTTAATTCGCTCGAATTTATAAATCCCAATACTACCCTTGGTGACGAAGATCGAGAAATTGTCAGAAATTAATAATTTAAATAAAAAGTTTAATTTAAGATAAGAATTTAAAATAAAAAGTAAGAAAATTATAAGAATTAGATTTGGATTTAAAAACAAGGGAAGTTAAAAATCATAGAAATTCAATTCGATATTAAAACTCCGCAAGAATCAAATCCTTCTTTTGAAAATTTTTCGAGCTTCCAAAAAACCGTAAAAAAAAAAAAATAAAAATTGGATTGCAGTGAGAGATCAATCGGTGCTCCGCTTAATTAAAATCCCCTGCGTATGGTGGCGACAGGGTTCGCGGAAGCTCGGGGCTTCCCGGTACGCATTATTGCCGTAGTGGCGCTCGTGCGCAGAAGGGGCCCGTTGTCCGGATTTTTCGTCGCGCGGTTCCTCCTCTTCGCGTTATCGCGGCTGCTTCCCGGTACCTCCCGTTACCGGAAGAGAGATATCGCTTGTGCGAATCTTTTCGAACCCTCCTGGCTTTCTCGAAACCCGTCCGATTCCGCTGCCAGCCTCTGGGGCCCTCGATTCCCCGTAACCTGTGTCGATCGTCGTGGCTTTCGAAAGCTTTTCGTGGAAAAAATATTGCGGGATGAAGAGAAGAAAAGAAACCGCAATCGAGGGATCAAAAGCGAAGGAATGGACCCGATGGATCTCGTTCGAATTTTCGTTGAAAATTTAGGAGTGGATGGCGAATGAAATAGGGCCCAAGAGGTGGGTGGCGAATTAAATAGGGCCCAAGGGGTGGTTGACAAACGAAATAGAGTCCAAGACGTGGGTGGCAAATAAAATGGGGACTAAGGGGTGATTGACGAACAGAATAGGGCCCAATGGGTGGGTGGCAAATAAAATAGGGCCTGAGAGGTGGTTGACGAACGAAATAGGGTCCAAGGCGTGGTTGATGAACGAAATAGGGCCAAGGCGTGGTTGACGAACGAAATAGAGACCAAGATGTGGGTAGCAAATAAAATGGGGACCAAGGGGTGATTGACGAACGAAATAGGGCCCAAGACGTGAGGTAGCAAATAAAATGGGGACCAAGGGGTGAATAACGAACGAAATAGGGCCAAAGGGGTGGGTGGCAAATAAAATAGGGCCTGAGAGGTGGTTGACGAATGAAATAGGGTCCAAGGCGTGGTTGACAAACGAAATAGGGCCCAAGACGTGAGTAGCAAATAAAATGGGGACCAAGGGGTGATTGACGAACGAAATAGGGCCAAAGGGGTGGGTGGCAAATAAAATAGGGCCTAAGACGTGGTTAACGAACGAAATAGGGTCCAAGGCGTGGTTGACGAACGAAATAGGGCCCAAGAAGTGAGTAGCAAATAAAATGGGGACCAAGGGCTGATTGACGAACGAAATAGGGCCCAAGACGTGAGTAGCAAATAAAATGGGGACCAAGGGCTGATTGACGAACGAAATAGGGCCAAAGGGGTGGGTGGCAAATAAAATAGGGCCTAAGACGTGGTTAACGAACGAAATAGGGTCCAAGGTGTGGTTGACGAACGAAATAGAGCCCAAGAAGTAAGTAGCAAATAAAATAGGGACCAAGGGGTGATTGACGAACGAAATAGGGCCCAAGACGTGAGTAGCAAATAAAATGGGGACCAAGGGGTGATTGACGAACAAAATAGGGCCCAAGGGATGGGTGACAAATAAAATAAGGCCTAAGAGGTGGTTGACGAATGAAATAGGGTCCAAGGCGTGGATGACGAACCAAATAGGGACCAAGGGATGGTTCGAACGAAATATGGTCTAAGAGGTGGATGGCAAATAAAATAGGGACCAAGGGATGGTTAACGAGCGAAATAGGGCCCAAAGGGTGGTTGGTGAACAGAAACAGGAACCAAGGAGTGAGTGGCAAATGAAATAGGGACTAAGGGGTGCAGAGGAATTTCTCCAATTTCTCCACATTTTCGAATTTATTCCGTCCCTGTGGGAATCGATGCAGGTATTCCCGATATTTTAATTTATTCAGGTAACGACTCAGTCGAAAATCATCTTCTCGTCGGATGTTCGATTAATTATCCTCGATTTTGCTCGCGCATGTATCTCATTAGTTAAACGACGCACGTTCATCGCGATTTCCTTGTGTTGCAGATCACCCAGCTGAAGATCGACAACAACCCGTTCGCGAAGGGATTCCGGGACACGGGGGCGGGCAAGCGCGAGAAAAAGTGAGTATCGCTTTCAAAACTTCATTTAAACTTTTCAGCACAATTTGAAATTTATTTCTCTGAAAGTAAGAAAAACAACCCCCTTTTTGAAACTCACAAAACTTATCTTCCTGAAGAAGAATTCACTGTTCCTATGGCACAGTTCATTATAGAAGAACAATCTCTCGCAATTCCATTTCTTTTCTAAAAAATCGAAATCCCATAGAATGTACTATGAAATCATAGTACATTAAAATATCGAACCGTGAATTTTGAAAGTATTAAGTTTTAGAACCCTCCTAACCCCCTGCTACCTTATTCTATATTAACCGCTTCAAAAATTGAAACTGTTCTCAAAAGAATATGCAAATTTAACCCTTTGCACTCGGCGAATTTTTCGTTACAGGGAAATAGTAATTCGGAGACTTTCTGCCATAAAGTTGGCGATATTTTTAAAACTGTGAAAAAGAAATCGTATGTAAATTAAGACGTAGAATTATTTTACTTCAACATTCCACGCATCGTTGGGTAATTTAAATTCGATATATTAATTAACATCGAACTTTAGGTTCTCATTAAATGACGACTGAGGGTCGTCTCTCGAGTGCAAAGGGTTAATTCTATTCTCTACCATTTTAAAACATTGAATTTCTCAAAAAAGAAAAAAGATATTGCAGAGCCATATTATTATAAAAATACTTGGAACAGGAGAGTAACAAATTAACCCCTAATTTGTTACACCTGGAAGAAGCAGAAGCAAAAATAATAATATTCCATCATCAAAGAGAAAAGAATAGAAATACTCGATAATAAAATAATTTTGCTAGAATTACGAAATACCGAAATTTTTCTGAAAACGTGAAAATGAGAAGGGCGAGGAAGGAAAATAAAATTCGCGGTGTAGCAGGTAGAAGGGGTAGCCGCAGAAAGCAGCGTCCACCCCTTTCCCGAATCCGAGCCCCATCGAACAAAAAGCAATTCCAGATCCTGTCTTCTAGATGGACCTAATTGATCGTCGAGCTTTTCGGTGCTCTCCCCACGATCCCCGCTATTAAGTTCAACGGATCAGGGCTCGGGGTCAGCCCTCGGGGCCGAGGTCGCATCCACCGGGCTCATTTGCACCCCGGTATCGTCCATTTGTATTCAATATCGCGGCTTTACGAGCTTATATAGGCGAGGGTCGCGTACACCGGGCCCGTTTCAATTTCATCCAGGGTTCCCGGTGGCCCTCGAGTGGATTCTGACGAGGTTAAGTCGCTCTATGCATATAAGCCTCGTGCCGGCCTCGTTAACCTCGCTAATCCTCGCTACACGCCAGTCAAAGCTGCGTAAGCTTCGCCAATTTGTCGTTCGCGGGCGTTCAGGTACAATGACGGAAGACGTTGCGGAAAGGGGTTGCGATGGGGGATGAAATTGGCCGTGATGCCAGCGATTCGTACTGTCTGAGTTTTCCTATGGATCGTGGCATATTAATTGCCGCGGTTTTCGAGCCGCTTGGCTGCCAGCGATGGGTGCTTGGGTGATGGGTGGCATTTAGCTTTGGATTAGCTTCGATGTTTGCGTTTTGTCTGTGCTTGCGGAGAAGGATTAGAAGATTGATGTAGTTTTGGGATTGTGACAGGTGCTATGAGATATTAATTGTTGTGGTTTTCGAAGCGATGGGTGTTTGGGTGTGAGCGATGGATACTTGGGTTCTTGGGTGCTAGCGATGGAAGCTTGGGTTCTTGGGTGCTAGCGATGGAAGCTTAGGTGTTTGTGTGCTAGCGTTGAAAGCTTGGGTTCTTGGGTGCTAGCGATGGAAGCTTGGGTTCTTGGGTGCTAGCGTTGAAAGCTTGGGTTCCTGGGTGCTAGCGATGGAAGCTTGGGTGTTTAGGTGCTAACGACGGATACTTGGATTTTTGGATGCTATCGATGGGTGCTTGGGTTCTTGGGTGCTAGCGATGAAAGCTTGGGTTCCAGGGTGCTAGCGATGGAAGCTTGGGTGTTTGTGTGCTAGCGTTGAAAGCTTGGGTTCTTGGATGCTAGCGTTGAAAGCTTGGGTTCCTGGGTGCTAGCGATGGAAGCTTGGGTGTTTAGGTGTTAACGACGGATACTTGGATTTTTGGATGCTATCGATGGGTGCTTGGGTTCTTGGGTGCTAGCGATGAAAGCTTGGATTCCAGGGTGCTAGCGATGGAAGCTTGGGTGTTTGGGTGCTGGCGATGGAAGCTTGGGTGTCTGGGTGCTAACGACGAGTGCTTGGGTTCTTGGGTGCTAGCGATGGCAGCTTGCGTTCTTGGGTGCTAACGATGGAAGCTTGGGTTATTGGGTGCCAGCGATGGAAGTTTGGGTTCTTGGCTGCTAGCGATGGGTGCTAGAGTGCTATCGATGGGTACTTAGATGCTAGCGATAGCATAAATTACCCGATGGTATAAATTTCGGTATAAATTACTCTCTATCTTCATATTCTTCCAATTTCTTTGCAATGTGAATACAAAATTAAAATAAATTTTAGATTCCACTATCGATCATCAGATTTTCCTTCAACAAATTTCATCTTTGTATTAAAGAAGTATCAAACAATGGTTGAAACCTGGATACTGAATGACTACAATTCCAAACAACCATCAGGACACTTGTTCCTCGATGTTCTTCTAATCCAATTAGATTAGACCAATCTCAACGCTCAAGGTATTAATAACTACCTAATTTTTCTAAAATTATATCATCGATCTCCACAGTATCTCTTGCACCACCTACCAGAAACTTAGCCCAAACTCAAATTAATCGTCTCGAGATAAATAGAATTTTTATCTAAATTGGGAGAATAATTCTACGGCAACGGAACTAATCCACGGAATACCGAATGCCACGTCCTCTGGCAGAGCACGTAACGCAGAATTTACTCAGCGGCTGTAGGTTGAACGGTTCCTTAGATAAATGCCCGGGGGTGGCGATGGAAAAAGCGGGGGCCGAGGAAATTCCGCGGAAATTGAAGCGACGCCCGGCGCTCGGGCCGGATAAAGAAAGGGCGAGGTTAATCGAGAAAATATGCAAAGCAGGGGGCGCGTCGTGGCGCCGCCTAATTAGAATAAGGGTTAGTTTTGGCTTATGGTTTCGGTTAAGGGTGGCCGGATCCCATCAGGAAGCCGCAGAGAACCAGGAGATGCGGAGTCGCGACAGAAGGAGAGAGAGAGGGGCGAGGAAGGGGGCGAGATGAGGAGAGAGCGAGAGAAGGAGAGCGAACGGGGTTGGAACATAGCCAATCATCGGATTAGCATACTGATGCTCAGGGGCGGCGCTGTCGTTAGCGTGGAGGGTGCCACTTGCTGGCTTTGAATTTTATATCGCCGCTACGAGCCAGTAACCGGCGTATAAAGGCCGGTTTCGTGGTGGGGCGGACCACTTCCGGCGTACCAGGCCTCCTGCTTTTTTCCATCGTCTCGTTATTCCCTTTTTCCCTCCTTCACTTTCGGCTATGCCTTGGCCACCGCTTTTTTTCACCCAAGTTAACAAATTTTGGTGGTTACAAACTTGTCGTAGGAGATGCTCACCAGGAACCAAATGTTGAGTTTCAAGCACAGAATTCAAGTGCTATGTAATTTAATTAGTACTCCAGTTAGGGTGAGAGATCCTTTTGCTAGAGAAATTAGAATTTTATATGTACAAAAGGTGGCTATGAATATTACACTTCGACCATCTTTCTTTTTCTCCAAATTAACAAATTTGGTAGTCAGAGTCCTGTCACAGAAAATTCATAACAGGAACCAAAATGTGGATTTTCAAGCACAAGATTCAAGTGCTATATAATTTTAAATAGTGCTTCAGTTAGGGTGAGAGATCCTTTTGGTAGAGAAATTAGAAATTTCTATATACAAAAAGTGGATATGAATATTTCACCTTGGCCATTTTTCTTTTCTTCCCAAATTAACAAGTTTGGTATTCAGAGTTCTGTCATAGAAGATGTTTAACAGGAACCAAATGTGGATTTTCAAGCACAAGATTCAAGTGCTATATAATTTTAAATAGTGCTTCAGTTAGGGTGAGAGATCCTTTTGGTAGAGAAATTAGAAATTTCTATATACAAAAAGTGGATATGAATATTTCACCTTGGCCATTTTTCTTTTCTTCCCAAATTAACAAGTTTGGTATTCAGAGTTCTGTCATAGAAGATGTTTAACAGGAACCAAATGTGGATTTTCAAGCACAGGATTCAAGTGCTATATAATTTTAAATAGTGCTTCAATGAGGGTGAGAGATCCTTTTGGTAGAGAAATTAAAATTTTGTATATACAAAAGGTGGCTATGAATATTTCACCTTTGCCATTTTTCTTTTCTTCCAAAATTAATATTATATTGGTAGTCATACAATTTGGTAGTCAGAGTCCTGTCATAAAAGATGCTTAACAGGAAGCAAGTGTTAATTTTGAAGCACAAGATTCAAGTGCTGTGTAATTAAAATGGTGCTCCAGTTAGGTTGAGAGATCCTTTTGGTAGAGGAACTAGAATTTTGTATATATAAAATGTAGCTGTGAATATTACACCTTGGCCATATTTCTTTTTTCCTCAAATTGCCAAATTTGGTAGTAAGAAACTGTTAATGAACCGAATATTAATTTTCAAGTAGGGTATTCAAGTTCTATGTAATTTAATTAGTATTCGAATGGGGGTGTAGGTCCCTTAAAATTTTCACCTTGGCCATCTTTCTTTTCTTCTCAAATTAACATATTTGGTAGTCAGAGTCCTGTCATAGGAGATACTTAACAGCAGCCAAATGTAGATTTTCAAGCACAGGATTCAAGTGCTATATAATTTAAATAGTGCTTCAGTGAGGGTGAGGGGTCTTGTTGGTGCAGAAATTAGAATTTTGTATATATAAAATGTAGCTGTGAATATTAAACTTTGGCCATCTTTCTTCTTCCTCCAAATTAACAAATTTTTAAATATGTTAATTACACAAATTAGAAACTTGTCATAGCAGATGATTGGCAAGTACCAAATGTTAATATTCAAGTACGGGATTCAAGTGCTCTATAATTTAA